TCACCAACATTTGTTGTTGCTAGTTGTTTGAAGATGTGCCATTCTCACTGGGGTGAGGTGGTATCTCATTGTGGTTTTAATTTGCATCTCCCTTATAAAATAAGATCTTCTTTGTTCTTTTTTCTCCTGTTTGCTTTCATTGAAGTCCAATGTATCTTTTAACTTAAAACCTTCTTCTTAATCCTGTCCATAATCTTGAGACCATTCTTTTAATTATTTCTTCCACCATAATGTTTACTTCTTTTCCTCTTTGATCTTTTTTTTTTTTTTAAGATTTATTTATTTGTGCATACAGAACTGGGGTGCCGGCCAGAGGCTCAAGGGCGGTGAGAGACTTCACCAGAGACAAAGTGGAGAGCAGAACAGGCAGATCTACAAAGTACACTGCTGAGGGGAGCAGCGGGCGGGTCAGGAGAGGTCTGCCGTGCCATGTGGTCACCTCCAGGGCAGGCGGGAATCAAACTCATGTGGAAACAGCTTTAGATTCTCAGTGCTGTGCTTTAACCCGCTGCGCCACCAGGGAGGGCCCTCTTTGATCTTTTGTTGAATCAAATTGTATCCAGTCTCAACTGAATCTTTTGACATGTTTGTTACTACACCTGGGCTTTGGGGCACTTGGAAAAAAGACTTGACAATCCACCTGTAGCCTCTAGATGCATGGCCTCCAACTTGTTAGACCCTAAACATTCTTGATTACATCCCTAAGCAACTCTGTTTATTCTTGTCTTCAAAATTCCTCCTTGATACTTGTTCCCTCGGTGTCAGAAAATGACCTTGACTCCTATTTTATTGAGCCCACCATACAGGAACTCTTGAACATCTTCTTCCTTTCTTCCACTACCAACAATTTATCTAACATATATCACCTTCTATTTATCTTTTCCTGCTTTTTCACTTCAACTTTATTTCCAGGATCTTATAAGACTAGTACTGACTTTCTAACCCTTCTGCTCTCTGGCTTTCATGCAAACTGGCTTGGATGAGGTTAAACTGTTAAAACCTATGAAGTGGTTTTCAACCATTGCCTGATTTGGTCTCTATGGCATTTAACATCATTGAGAATTACCTCTAAGCTTCTTCCTCAGAAAACTCTTCTATGTTGGATTTTTCCCCCATCTGTGGTTCTCACAAATTCATTTTCCACTTTTCAAAATAGCAGAAACAATTTTAAGCATTTAACTTTTCTCAAAATAATAATTGTTGTACATGCATATAATTCAGTATTAATTATACTAAAGCTATAACATTACGTTATGGAAATATATTGAAATTCAGTATTACACTTAAAAATATAAAACACATTACTTACATCTTGATTTCTTTTTCCCCAGTTAATGAAGGAGTTCCCACTCCTGAGTATGTTCAACATCCACGAAAATCTTTTAGAAGCCCTTCTAGAACTACAAGCCTATGCTGATGTTCAAGCAGTTTTAGCAAAGTATGATGGTAAGTCCTTGGGTATTTGATCTTTGTGAATATTCCTCTCTTCTTTATGTATTTCAGTAATTAGACTGGAGAGTTCATTTCAGATAAAACAACACTTTAATATCTATACTTTGTTCAAATTTTCACCTATAACTTTGATGGTACTTTAGAAGTTCCTGACTAGTGGGGCCAAAAAATGTCAAGTGTCCTGTGCTCCATCTCGCTCCTTCCCTCTCAGCAGGTTCCCCTGTCAACAAGAGTTCTGCTTACTCTGCTTTATTACTGCTGTGGCTGAATCACTCCGAACCTGTGCAGGTAGTCACACTCTATTGAGATAGCACTGACTATTTCTGCTATACTCCATCAGTTGACCACAACAACTAACTACCAGTTGTTCATACTGATTATTTGAGGCAATAGAGAACAGCTAGTAGCACTTCTATAGCTCCTGTGACAACCCAGTAGTTATCGAAGATAAAATCATGTTACCTCCATATTCTCCTCACTAGAAAATATCCCTTATCTTCATGTGAGGGATTTTGAGGAATTTGCTATACCAGTTACCCATGAGATTATTCCATTTTGCTTGTTTTTAATAAACCAGAAAAAATAAAGTGCTATATCTTAGGTATCTGGAAATTCTTTTGTATATATTGTCATTGTTGGTGAAGTCACTGTTTAACTAATTATACAAAAATTATCCACATAATTACCTGCCATAAATTAGTTATTAGAATCTCCATAGAACATAATTCTATTTTGCCTTATTAACTCTCTTCCAAAAGTAAATATTTCTTTGTAAAGTGGATGTTAGGGAGTGATCAGATACATTACCTGATAATTTTGTACTTTATAAAATATTTTTAGTAAGCATCATAGGTACATTTAAAGAATTATTTAGGCCACTAGTTTCCAGAAATTCATTTGACATATAGAGCGAACAGTATTATTTTGGACACAATTCTTCATAGGGAATATCTGAAATGGGCTGGAGTTTTGATCCTCTGCACTTGGGGGAACTGAGGTATTGTGAGACTCTTTTGTTTTGTTCAAAGTGATGGAAACTAAAAGCCTTCAGTCAGCAATGGCATCACTTGGCCTGTGTGAACATGGTACCATGTGTAACAAGATATCAGCTACCTAGTATGGAACTGATTTGAGAGAGAGAGAAAAGTATTTGTGGCGCACTTTATAGTAAACAAAATAAAGACTGTTTGGCCTTCACATCAACTCACTTTTGTTCTCTGTTTATATGCTGGAATCTCAAGATTTGACTGAGTTTGGGAATCCAAGCCGGGAGGCTACCTCATAGGCAGTCTGCTCATACATAAGGGTTTCTGGTACAAAAGGAGCCCAGGCCCATTCATGTGGATTCAGGTGTTGATTCACTTTTCTGTATGCCACCCTAGCCATCAGAGCCATAGCAAGGTTGTTTTTGTCATTCCTAGTGACGACCTGTGCTTAACCTGTTATATCAAGACTTAAGAAAAAAGATTTAACCAATAGGGCCTTTGGGATCTCAAGTCTCATAAGGCTCCTTTCATAAAGATCTCAGTTCATTACAACAATCATCAGCTTTTTGTTTTAAGACTGATTGTAAAATAAAGAAATGAACTCATTTGGAACCTTCTGTTGAGTCTATCTATCCCATTGCTCAGTCTCTGTTCCATAACAACCAAAGCTGATTTATTAGATTCTGATAGCATATGTTCACATTATTTGTTACAACAGCTTGTCCCACCCTCCCACTAAAACTTGGCTTGCACTTTGCAAAATTCCTTTGTTGCAAATGGACAAACTCACCATACCAAGGCCCTTGTGTTGAGCTTTGTTTATGTTGTGTACCTGGCAACAGAGATGATGTTCTTATTCATTATTCATGGAAAAAGAGCCTCATTAGTGGCAGGACACATACTGCTGCTGAGCTGCCTTGTTAGGGGTTTTGGGTTCAGCAGTTGTCAATAGACAGCAGATGACCTAACATCAACTGAATTCTGGAGGGTATTTTGGTGCAGACTTGACTGAAGTTAGTGTCACAGTAGAAATATAATGAAGTGACTGGTGTGGTTACTGTTCTTGAGATGTGAGCTAATACTATTTTAAAAAACATGCCTTTTGTTCTTCACCTTATGCCATAAAATAGGCTCTTTCAGGTACATCCTTGTCACTTTTCCTGGTGACCCAAAGGACCTTGACTGAGTTGTTGCTTCAACGTGTGGCCCTGTGCAAGGAAGTGGGCACTTTTGAGGGCTTGTAGTACAGACAGCAGTTAGGGCTGCTCTATTCTCTACTCTGGTTTAGATGTCATCATTCTAATCCACGAGATGCTGGAGACAGCTCTTTGAATCCAGCCTCTTCATCCCTCCCACAAAGCCACACCCAAGGCAGGATTATGTTATCTTTGCAAATAGGAATGCTCTGGTTGGGTAGCTCTTTCTTGGATGGTTTATGGGTAGAGCAATCCTTCTTTATTACATTTGCTAGGTGACTTAATTTTTTAAATAGTATGTTGGAAAATGATACAGTGGGATTTGTGATGCCTTTTTGACCTTTGCAAGAAGGAGTTAGAAATATGGCAAGACAGAAAGGGAGAAAAAAACATGTTCTAAGGAAAGGAGGAAGGTAAAATGTACTCCCTGTGCCTTATTCTTCACCACTTTTGTTAGGTTTAAATTAAGAGACATTCACAAACTTCTTTATTTTGCTGCACTTTGGGAACCCTGGGCACCTAGTAGGATTATTAGTTAATTAGTCATAGCGCCATGTAATCTACAGTCTAATTGTGATTTTGTTCTTGAGATAACTTCTTAAGGCATGTTGTTCTAGCCATTAGACTGAAATGCTGTCTTGCCATGCTCAGAGTTTTTATACTCTTCTTTCAATTTGTTAACCAACATTATGGGTGGACAGTTTTATCCAAGTGGTTGGTCCTGGTTTGGGACTGCCCTTCAGTCAATGACTAAGATAGAAGTAGTGGCAACAGATAACATTTACTGAATTTTAAAAATGAGTCAGTGTCAGACAGGACTGTAAACTATGGACTCATTTATTTTCACCATAAACATGTGAGATAGATATTGTTAGTCCCATCTTACAGCTGGGCTAACTAGGGCAGAGAGAATTTAAGTAACTTCAGATGTCAAAGTAAGAGCCTAATATATCAAAGTGAAGCCCTGGTGGTGTTAAGTTATGAGAGAAAAAAAGATAAAAATGAAACCAGTCTTGTGAATTCTACAAGTAATGGAAAGCCAGAATAAAAACTGAGTTGGTCTTACTGCAGGCCCATGGTCTTAACCATCACATTCCCCTTGTCTTGCTGTTAACAGTATATATTTTTGTTTTGACTGACACCATTCTTGTTAGCTACAGTTTGCTGAGCACCTGCCTTATGCCAAGCTCATTATATCCATTACCTGTAACTCTCATAATAACGGTGCACAAGGTAGTTATTCCATTTTACCAGATGCAGAAACTGAGGTTTAGGTAACTTTCAAGACCACATTTTGATAAAACTGAAGAGCTAGGATTCAAATTCAGGTCTCTGATTCTCAAACCCATGTGTTTTTCATCACTGTAAGCCTTGCTAAAGTGATTTGCTCTCCCTCTCTCACTCCTCTTACGAAGACATGAATTAGGAGGCCAGAGGACTGGCACAGAATTTCAGTGATGCCAAACAGTCTTTTAAGATTCCTTTTGAATTGTTCTTTAAGAGGAAACCTAGACTTGCTTATCACTCTGAAACTGTCTTCAAACTATGACTGTCCACCTTTTACCAACTTATACCTGATTTTTATTAATCACAGAGGGGATTTGATGTATGGTATACATTTAATTTGAGATTTATCATATTTTTTCTCTAGTAATATATTTTCTATAAAGATAGAAATATTTTCAATATCATTAAGTCATCAAACTTCTTTTAGAAGCCATCATAAAAGTTGTTACAAGATTCGGGTTGTCTACAGAGATGTTTTTAGGCCACCTATGTTGAAAACTTAAGTCTCAAAGATTAGGGTAGTAAAATAAAAAAGAATTCATGTGTTTCTTATTCATTCTCAGTTGTGTACTTTTTTGTCAGAAGAATCTCATGTAGTAAACGAATGTGAAAGCGAGTGCTACAAGTTACCTTTGGGAGGGTCTGGTTCTTCTGTCTCTGGTTAGTGATCCTGTGGGTGCCAAAGGCGGCCAGGCACACAGGAGAGTGGTGCTGAGGGGCCTTGGCTGTGGTCCAGGCTGTGCAATCAACCCTCAACTCCAAATGTCAGGAGATGAGGGTGCGTCAGTGAATTGCTTAAACCACCCAGGCCTTGTTTTCTTTCTTAAAAAATGGAATTGAGACTTTGGAAGGCTAGCCAGTTTGCCCAATATCACATAGCTGGTCATTTGTTGTGTGGATTAAGGTATTTAATCCACAATTTAGTGTTCAGAGTAACACGGAGCCCATAATTGGAGTTTAGTAACTATTAGCAATTACAGAGAACCAAGATTATCTCTCCTGACTGCACAGCACTGTTCTTGATCAAATATCCTCAAAAGGAAACTATATATGAAATCTCAGTGAAAAATGTGAGAGTAAGAGCTACTCAGTCTTCTAACAGCACATATTTATTGATATTTGATAAGAACAGACATGCATAGTTCTATATATAAACAATTCATAAACATTTGGAAAACTGGAAAAAAAAAACCCAATAATGTCAGGGAGTCTTACTCTTAATGGCAAGACCAGTTGTTTTAGCCTTAGGGCAGTTTGCAATAATGGACATAGAAATTTTAGCTCTTCTTAATATTTACTCCATTAGGTCATTCAGTGATTGCTCTAAATTTGGGGGTAAAACTTCTCTGTGTGGGACAGCTGTTCTTTTTTTATAATCATGAATGCTAATATAAATGTAACAACTCTATCAAGGCTATTTTTACGGATGCCATCGTTCCTGTCTTAAATTAGCGTTATTATCTGGCATCTGGTAATGTGCAGAAGGTACATTTTTAAGAACAGGACATATTGGGAGAAAAAGTTT